GGGCTCTGTTCTCATAACACAGGGAGACGCAACTCCCTATGATGGTGGGTGTGGAAGTACTTTGTAAACTGTGAAGTTCTCCACACACGTGAAGTCTATGATTAACGCTTTACTAATGTTTCAACTCAAAATGCAGTGTAAGTCAGCTGTACTGACGTGGCAGAGACTGATGTTAATAATTACTGATATCTAGAGGGGGCCTGATGGTTTAGACATCAATTTTCACATCCTTTATTCTTTTAAATTTTCACCACAACCCTGAGAGACAGGCTTTTATCACTACCCCCATTTAAAGGATGAGAAAAGGGAATCTGGCAAACTTGCTAAAGGCCTCACAGCTGGTCAGGTGCCTGAGCCTGACCTTCTTCCTCTTGTCATTCTGGAGAAAACAATGAGGAGCTGTCTTAACTCCAGGCCACTTTGCACCAATCAGGCTCCAAAGTCTCCCTTGGGGGGACAGGAAAACAGGTTATACCCAAGGCTGATGCTGGTGGCTTGATGTGTAAGGAGCATTTAAAGTTCCAGGCCCTAGTTAAAACTGCCTACCCAAGGAATCTGTTCTTGAAGATAAGAGAGAGGTATTTCTTGGGGCTTCTGCTTTGTGGTAGATTATCTGCAAAGATGGTTCCTAAGGATTCCTTCTATTCCTGTATGCACATTTGTTATGGGTTGAATTATGTCCCTCCCAATAGACATCTTGGATATGTTGGAGATATATTGGAGTCCTAATCCACAGGACCTCAGAATGTGACCTTATTTGGAGATAGTGTCTTTACAGAGGTATCAAGTTAAAATGAAGTCATCAGGGTGGGCGCTAGTCCATTGGTGTCTTTATAAGGGGAATTTGGGCACAGAGATAGGCATAGGCACACTGGGAGAACTCACATGAAGATAAAGGAATGAAGGCAGAGACTGGGGTGTTGCATCTACAAGCCCAGGAACACCAAACCATCAGAAGCTAGGAGAGAGGAATGGAACAGATTCTCTTTCTCTCATAAAAGGAATCAACCCCCCCCCCGACACCTTGGTCTCAGACTTCCAACCTCCACAAGTATGAGACAATACATTGATTAAGACACCCAGTTTGTGGGACTTTGTTGCAGCAGCCCTAGTAAACTAATATAGCACCCCACTTCCTCCCATCAAGAGGTAGAGTCAGTTTATCCTCCCCTTGAATCTGAGCTGGCTTTGTGACTTTCTTTAGCTAACAGAATGTGACAGAAATAATGAATTGGCAGTTCTAGGCCTAGGTCTTAAGATGCCTGGCAGCTTCCATTTTCACCCTCTGGGAAGCCAGGCTGCCATGTTGTTAGTATATTTTGTTGGAGAGCTCACATGGAAAGAGAAGCCATTTGGATTGTTTCAGCTCCAGACAAGCTTCCAGTTGATGTCCCTAGTCAACACTGAATGCAGCAGAAGAACAATCTAGCTGGGCCCAGTACACCAAAAGAATTGTAAGGAAGAAATCATTGTTCTTTAAGCCACTAAGTTTTGGGGGTGGTTTGTTACACAGCAATAGACAACTGAAATGTGCGCCTTCATTTTTTTGGCAGGTACTCCAGCACCTCTGCCACTGTTGTTCCTAAAGCCAGGTGCCACCAGTACTATTCTCCTCCTGAATGGATTCTGGGTGATGCCTGTCTCCAGACATTGCTCACTTCCATATGAAAATTTGCAATAGTGCATCTGGTTGGCAGGAGTTGGATGATGCCAGGAGATTGGGAAAGAGTGTTTCTGGCTTTGAAAGTAGGTGGTGCAGGAAAGCTTCCCAAACATAGAAGAATGTTCAGAAGGTAGTGGGCACCACTGAAACATAATGAAGGTCTTCAATAATGGCTAATACATTTTTGTGAACCTACTGTGTGCTTGGCACACAGTTTGGGGTCCATTCATCTTCTAATGGTAAACCCTGACTTCACCCTTCCTCACTCTCCATCCCTGTGGTTTAGATGGGATCGACCCCAGGGTTGGGCTTGTGATTCAGGCCCCAACAATGACATGTGACCCAGTCAGAGCCAACTTGGTGTAACCTTTGCTTTTTGCTGGGACAGCTGAAAGAAATGAGGACTTGGGCTGTGAGGATGGAGCCTAGAGCTGCTGGCAGCCATCCTGCTGCTGCAAAGAACAGAGATGAGAGATGAGAAGAGGAAGACCAAGTCGATATTTTTTGAGCTTCTTGGTACTGGATCAGTCATACCATTGAAGTCTTCTGTTATGTGAGCCTGTACATTTCCTATTTGCTTACAACAAGTCAATTTAAATAGTTTCCCATCATTTGTAATTTGTCACGTCCACCTTTTTCTTTTTTTTAAAGAGTGTAAGTTTTTTTAAAATGAATTTATTTTATTTATTTTATTTTTGGCTGTGTTGGGTCTTTTGTTACTGCGCACGGGCTTTTCTCTAGCTGTGGTGAGCAGGGGCTACTCTTCATTGCGGTGTGTGGGCTTCTCATTACCGTGGCTTCTTTTGTTGTGGAGCACGGGGTCTAGGCGTGCGAGCTTCAGTAGTTGCGGCTCATGGGCTCTAGAGTGCAGGCTCAGTAGTTGTGGCACATGGGCTTAGTTGCTCCGTGGCATGTGGGATCTTCCAGGACCAGGGCTTGAACCCGTGTCCCCTGCATGGGCAGGCGGATTCTTAACCACTGCACCACCAGGGAAGCCCTGTCAAGTCCATCTTAATCTTGTTTAATACAAGTCTTTGGAGTAGAGACCATTTTACAGATGAGAAAACTGATACACAGATTAACTTCCCCAAGGCCACGTGGAGGCAGAATCCAAACCCAAGAAAGCTAATCCTGAGAGGCCACTTATAAATATTCTGCTCTCCTTGGTGACAGGGAAGGATTCACAAAGGAGGGTGTGACATTTAACCTGACATTTAACTCCAAGGGGACACAGGGGTTTGTTAGGAGCAGGGAGAAAGGCTTCTAGGTGGAGGGAATAGCTTGGGCAATGACAAGGACTTTGCGCTAAGAAGAAACCTCACCTGAAATTCACCTTGTCCCTGGCCTGCAGTCTGTACTCAAGAGTGTCCTTCTTTCAGGGGAGCATCATACTCCATTTCTGCAGGAACATCTCTGTCTTCCTGGCCTCTGGACCCATGTGGACCTATGCTCTGCACTGGGGCCCGGTGGGTTCCCTGTGGGGTCCAGGTTAGGTGGGGCACCCTCCTCAGCCTGAAAGACAGTTCAGGCAGGGACCCAGCTTCCACAGAAGGCTTGCCCCCGTTGGACTGGATCTCTATCAGCCCCAGGAGGCCCTGGAGATGCTCACAGGTTAAACAGAATGAAATTGTCAGAGACCACTGCCCCCTACCCCCTCTTAAAGTAGAACAATGAAAGACTACTGGGGAGCAGAATCTCAAATAGAAAAAGAATAAACAAATAACCTCCAAATCTTTGATTTTTTTTAAGGAAAAAAATGACCCTCATACTTACAGTTGCTTCGGGTTTTATTAAATTCAGGACGAGGCAGTAGGTACCAGTGAAAGATATTTCTAACAGATGCCACCTCTGCTCAATGTCGTGGCTGTGAAGGGACAGGCTCCAGCGATTTGAATGCCCCCTTTCCCCTTGCAGTTGAAGGTTCGAGATTAATGCGAGGAGGTATGGGAGGGGGTGGTGGTGGCTGGGTGCGGCGGTAGTGTTGCAGAGAAAATGAGGTTGGAGGTGGCCCCTTGGGGACGAGCCCTCTGACCACAACTGAGATCCAGTGGAGGGTCTGCCGGAGTGAAGGCAGCTCCGGGAGGAGAGAGAGGCGCCCATTCCTTTCAACAGGAGGGTTTCGAGTTCTGCGGATAAACTGAGGCCTGCATCCTTGCTCTGCTCGTCACCTGGCAGGCAGCTTCGGCTCCGCGTTACGCCCAAGCACAGGGTGCGCAAGGCTGGGCTGCCTGCTTTCCTTTTGGGGACAGGTGGGGACGTTCTGCGCCCAGCTTGAGGAGGGGGCCGTGGAACCCAGGTGGGGAGCGCTGGGCCCGGGTCCCTCCGCAAGGTGGGTCCCTGAGGTTCTCTGCCAACGCAGCCTCCAGCCTCCCCACCCACGGCGGGGGGGTCGGGGGAGGAGCTCGGCGCGTCCCCGCCCCGAGGCGGAGAGGGGGCCGGGCCTGAACAGATTGGGAGGGGTGGGCCGGGGACGCTAGGCGGAGCGGGGCCCCACACAGGCCGCAGCGGCTGGCTCGGGCCCCTACGGTCCCGGCGGCGGCTGGAGAAGGAAGCCAGGCGGCTGAAGAGAAGGGGAGGCGGAGGAGGCCGAGGTGGAGAGCCGCTCGTCGCAAACTCACTTCCCCGGCTCAGCAGGGAAAGGTACCACGCGCGCCTGCTCCCGGCTCCCCGATCCCCGGTCGCCGGCCTCGCTCGAGCGCAGGCTGGGGCTGCGTCCGCCGCGGGAGGGTGAGGGGCCCGCCGCGGCCCCGAGGGCTCGGCCGGCCCGGGGCTCCGGCAGCCGGAGCGGCGCTCTGGCGGGAGGGCCAGGGTGCCCGGCATTCCCGGAGGCCGGCGAGGGCTGTGGGCGCCGCGCCCCTTCGCTCGCGTCGTGGGAGGCGGCGGTCAGGCAGGGTGGCCGTGGTCCCGAGGCGGGGGGCTGTGGGAGGGTGGAAGGCAGGCAGGACCCTAGGGCTGCGTGCAGCTGGGGAGCACCGGCGGCGCCCGACGGGCGCGCTCCGTGGGCGCAGACAAAGCCGGGCGCGGACGCCCCGCGACGGCTTGGGCCGCCCAGAGCATGGGCACTGGGGAGGGAAGAGGAGGCGCCGGGGCAACGGCTGGGACACGGGGAGGGGCTGGGCCGCCCTCCCAAAGGGCGTCCAGGTGGTCTCCTCGGGGTATCCCCTGGACAATGTGGGGAGCAGCTCTCTCCGAAGAGCCAACTAGGGGCTAATGGGCTGCGCTGGGCTAGGCGAGAGCCAGGCTCGGAATGGGGTAGGGAGTGTCGAATGCTTAATTTGGGAGAGGGACTCAGAGAAGCCACTGCCCAGGGGTGGGGGCTGGGGCTCCGGTAGAGCCGGTGAGGGGCCTGGGGTCCCCCTCAGAGCTTGCACCAGGAAGGGGTGTATGGCCTGATAAGAGAAGCGCCGTGGCTGGCACCTGTGGTGAAATGTGCCCACAGGTTGGTTGAACAGTCTGCCTGTGGTGGCACATCCCGTGCCAATCCGCGGAGGGGGTGGGTAACTTGTCCGTGTTTGGAGCAGGCAGCAAAACGGCAAGTGTCTAGGGGGGTCACTGGAATGGGTAGGTGTGCATCTGAAAGTGTGTGTAGCGAAGGCCCCACGTCTGCGTTTTGCTTCTTTGCCCCCCTCCCCTTTCCTCTTGTTAGCTGGGCTCCTGCCACAGGCTAATGCCTAACTAGGGTTCCAAGATGGTCTGCTCCCTGTCCCCCATTCTTCAAGTTACTTGCCCTCTCTCCAGTATTAAAAGTGGCTACTTTCCCCCTGGATCATTCACAACAGTGTAAGAACATGCTTTGCCACTGCTCCCCTCCATTTTATGGCCCCCTTTTTTGCCTTCATCCCTCATTCTCCCCTAGCTAAAGACACACTTCTCCACTTCCCTTCACAGCAAAACTTCTCCAGAGAGCTGTCTGTACCTGTGGTCCCTGGGTTCTGCAGCTCACTTGACCTGGCTCTGGTCCCACCGATTCACTGAAACTACCAAGTAAAGGTCTCCCTTGATTTACACTCCCCCACAAGTAGGTCTTCCTTGACCTCCCTTGGTCCTGATCATTCTCTCCCATATCCTTTCTTGGCTTCTCCTGGTTTTCTTCCTTACCAACCCCCCTTTCCCCCCACCAAAGCCCTTCCTTACTTATGTTTAAGGACAACTCCTTCACTCACTCTGAATGTTGGAGGATCCCTGGGCTCTGTTCTCAGCCCCCTCCTCTCCCCTGAGTCCCTTCTATTTACATACCCCTCAAGCTCTCATTTTTTCTTATAATTCTTAAAATCAAACATTTATTTACAAACACAGGTCTTAAGTGTATATCATTTTCATTCTCATGATTTTAAGTAGCAAATTTTATCTCCAGTCCCAACCTCTCTATCCAGCCACCCATCTGATGACTTAAGGTGTCATAGGTATGAAAAAGTTAATATGGGTGAAACAGAACCCTGACTGTGCTCCCCAAGCATGACTCTCCGCAGGCCTTCCCATCTCAGTAAAGGGCCTGTAACCCACCCACCATTAAAGAAAGGAAACCGGGTAGCATCATCTCCTCCCTTTTCCTCCCTCTCCACATCTAGTGCTACAGCAAGTGCTTTTGGTTCCTTTTGCCAAATCTATCTCAGGCCTATTCTTCATGCTCTGACTCCACTGCTGCTGCCCTAGGCTACTGCCCCAGGCCAAGCCACCTTTTATATCTTGCCTGAATATTGTAGTAGCTTTTGCCTGCTTTCCCTAAGTCTGCAATTGCCTCCTCAAATCCATTTTAACAGAGCAGCAAGAACAATTTAGAAAAATATTTAGTCTCATTGCTCTAAGACCCTCAATAGATCCCTGTTGTACTTGGAATGAAGTTTCAAATCTTTTCCCTGGCCTTTCAGATCTTCCAAGGTCTGGTCACTGCTGACCTCCCCCAGCCTTATCCTAACACTGTCCCCTTTTCATCTTCCTGACAGTCACACCTGAATCACTTCTGCCCCTTGAACACCTAAGCTTTTTCCTGCCCTGTGTCCTTTGCCTGTGTTGTTTTCTCTGCCTGGAATGTTCTTCCAAGGTTTTCTACTGGGCTGGCTATGCTCCTTCTTATTTTTCAGGTCTCAGCTTAAATATGCCTTCCCAGTCTTGGTAGAAGCCCATCATTCCCTGTAATTCATCGTAGCACCTGGTTTACTTTCTTCATTGTGCTTATCACAGTTCATAACCATTTGTTGCAGTTGTCTGTTTACTTTTTCTGGCTTTCTAAGGGCTGGAACCTTGACTGAATGGCCCACTGCTGAATCTAGAGCATTTAGCACAGTACCTGGCATGTAGCTGATACTCAGGAAATATTGAGCCAGGTGGAAAGGTCAGGGCAGTGCAGGAGCCCCTTGTAAACCTCAGGTGATCCTAAGGATTTTTATTTTCTTTCCATGAAAGCAGTTGTGCAAATCACTGCAAGAATCTGAGGGGGTCAGTGGGAAAAAGGGAAGGCTCAAAGGCAGGCCTGTATGCCTAGTGGGAGATTGGGTGGGTCTGGGGGTGTGTGGAGTTGATGTGGGTTGCTGTGGGTTGGGGAGAAATGATTTCCTTTGCTCTCTTTGGTGGAAATCCAGCCTGGGTCAACAGAGGGGTGTGTGCCTGTGTGCTTGTGTGTGATTTCTAACTCGTGAGATGGGGATGGCCTGGGCAGCCAGGGCTTTACTTTACCCAGTCTCTTGGGTGGCTGCTGGGTGCCTAGCCCTCAGGGCAGGGAGTTGAAGGGGAGGAAGAAGCTGGAGTTGGGGGTCTCTGTAGACCCTTGTCTTTCCACCCACAGCTCCCCTTTTTGCACAGAGGAGCCAACTGAGAATTGAGCTGTTTGGCTAGTGCTCTCAGAATGGAGGGCTAAGAACTGAGGGACCTCAGATCTGGGAGAGGGAAGCTTGGCCCTGGACAGGGGGACTGGTGATGGACCAAGGTAACATTGGGAGGTGAGCGCTGGAACTAGGGGATAGGGGTTCAGATCAGGGCTGGGCTGGCATGCCTAGGAAAGGCTTTGAGCTAGGATAGATGGAAGAAATGAGGGTATCCTGGGTGGGAGAAATCAGGCAGAGGCCAAGAGGCTAGGCCAGGGCCCTGGTATACTCACTGCGTGCCAGGCAGTGTTCTAAAGACTTTGCAAATATTAGCTCCTTTGATCCTCTTTTCTTTTTAATAAATTTATTTATCTTTTTATTTTTGGCTGCATTGGGTCTTTGTTGCTGCACATGGGCTTTTTCTAGTTGCAGCGAGCGGGGGCTACTCTTCATTGTAGTGGCTTCTCTTGTTGCGGAGCACGGGCTCTAGGTGCATGGGCTTCATTAGTTGTGGCACATGGGCTCAGTAGTTGTGGCTCGTGGGCTCTAGAGCACAGGCTCAGTAGTTATGGCACACAGGCTTAGTTGCTCTGCGGCATGTGGGATCTTCCTGGACCAGGGCTTGAACCCGTGTCCCCTGAATTGGCAGGCGGATTCTTAACCACTGCACCACCAGGGAAGTCCTCCTTGAATCCTCTTAACAGCTCTGTAAAGTAGGTCTTATTCCCATTTTACAGACTGGAAGACTGAGGCACAGTCATACAGCTCGGTAGTGACAGAGCAAGGATTTGAACCTAGGCAGCCTGGCTCCAGAATAAATGCTCTAAGACACTCTACTCTGTCACTTCTTTCATGCCTCTCAGATATTCGCCAGCTGAAGTCTTCTTAACAAATGTTTTTTCGTGACCCGCAGAGGTGCCTGGCCTTGGGGCTGGGGAAGTAGGAAAGAAGTCACACCCTGTAAGGTAGAAGGGGTCCTCACTCAGAGTGGGCAGCTGAGTCTCTCTGTTTCTTCCAGGAGGGGCTTTGGGCCCAGGCCAGGTTGGGTGTCACGCACACTGTGATTTCCGGGAGCTAGGGAGGACAACTACTTCTCGTACAAAAACAGCTCCCTGCTTGAGATGCCACCATTGGAGTGTCACTTCTCTGGGTTCAGCATTGCCACATTGCCCTCTTCATCTGCCTCTGGAGAGCCCAGAGAGGTGAGGTAGGAACTCTGCAGATAAACTGGCATGTTTTGTATTCCATCTAGGATGTTGTGAGGTGGAGCTTCAGACTTGGCCTTGGGAAACCTGGATGGGGGTCTGAGTAGGGCTGGACTGAAGGTGGGAGCAGAGCTGGGGGAACAGAGAAATGGGAACTGAAAAGAGCTTAATCCACTTCAGTATTGTCCCTGTCCTTACCCCTTTTTGTCTGTCTGTAAAATGAGATTAGAGAGACTTTTTTTTTTTTGCTCCCCAGAGGTTGTAGAAGCCAGGAACTCCTTGAGGTTACATGCTTGAGTACCTTCTTGCAGACCCAGGGTAAAGAGCGAGGACTCCCCATGGGATGCCCGTCTGTAGGAACTGGGCCAGCCAGTTCCTACAGACAGCCTTGTCCTTTGAGGCTTTCCTGTTTGGTCATGAGGACACCTCTGGGCAGGTGACTTGGCCTCCCAGGGGCCTGGCTAATAGGCTGTGAAAGGGTTTGCTGACCACACAGGGCTGGAGTCTGTTTGCTGCAAGTTCTGACCCCAGGGTTTAGGGGATCTGCTCATCTATCTCAGATCCTCCCAGCCCCCCAGGAAAAGAGGGAGGCAGACTCAGTGGCATTCTCTTCTGCATTTTGGGAAACTGAGGCCCAGAGCAAGCACATTGCTGCTGGAAGCTCACTAGGCCCATGTTTCTGAGGAGTGCTCCTTCTCTGGAGTATGCAGGAGGCTTGTCCCCACTGCTTGAGTCCTTGTCTGCTGAGTTGAGGTGAAGGCTGTGGCAGAGCCTGAGTCCAGCAGGCTAGAGCTGAGGGTGGACTTTCCAACAACTGGACACTGGGCCTTGTTACCTGTGGTTGGCATCTGGCATCTTCTATGCCCCACCCTGGTGCTTGGGGCCACTGGGAACACAGGACAGGGTCCCCACTCACCAGGAAATAAGAATGAGCTATGCCAGATGTGATGTAATGAGGTGCAGTTCAGACCAGCTTCTTGGAGGAGGAGGTGCTTTTAGAGCGCCCTGAAGTCTTGGGTAGCTTTGACCGACACAGGAGGGGATGGCATTCCTGAGGTGGAGGGGGAGCCCTGGACAAGTCAGTCAGAGCATTGATTGTCAAGCCACTGAGTCTAGACTTGATTCACTAGGCCCTGGGGAGCCATCGAAGCTTATAGGCCATAGGTGCAAGGAGTTGATTAGAGCAGTGGTCCATAAAATTACTTCCCAAACTCTAGCATACATGTGGACAGCTTGTTAAAATTCAGGTTCCAATTCAGCAGGTCTGGGGTGGGGCCTGAGACTCTGTGTTTTCTAACAAGCTCCTGGGTGGTATGATGCTGCTGGCCCATGGGTTATCTTTGTGTAGTGAGGGTTGAGACTGGGGACTTTGGGCCAGGCAGGTACAGGGATGGGCACAGATCAGGTGAGACCCGAAACAGATAAAGGGGACTGTCCTGGCTCCTGTGAACTGTGTTGGGGAGGCATATAGACTGCTTGTATGGGGGCAGGGCAGAGGGGAGCATGTGGAGGGTATGGGATGCAGGGGCTACTCTGTTGACGGGGTGGGGCTGGGTGAGGTGCTTCTGGGGACTTGGATCTCAGGCTGGGAGAAAGGCCTGATTTCTAGGGTGCCTGACTTTGAGGAGCTCCCAAAACCATGAGAAAGTGTTTTAGGCGACTGCCCCAGGGCAGGGTGACATGGAGATGGCATGTAGGGTGTCTTATCTTTCCCCACAGCCAAGCCCGGCCCTGTGGTTAGCCAATCTGGGGTGAGCACTCTTCCTCCAGCCAGGGTTGGGCCAAGGAGATTGGGGAAACAGCTGACGCCAGCCTTAGACATGCCATCTTCCCCTGAAAGCCCCTAAAGTTCCCCCAGCTGTTGAGCTCTCACCCCCAGCGAGCATCCCTGACCCCTGCCTGGCCTGCGTGAGTCCTTGTAGCTGCCCTGATGGTTGCATGAGCTGCTGTTGGGGTCTTATCCCACTCAGGCCGCCTCCCCAGTGCACCTGGAAGTGGGGAGGCCTGGATGC